AGCCGCCGGCAGAAAGGCAGGATAACAAGCAAGCTGTAGTGCCAGTCCTGTGCTGGGGGTGGTCAGTCACCTGGCACCAGACGACCAAGGCGGCAGGGGCGCTGCCATGGCGGGGACCAGGCGCCCCACCCACAGGTGCCCAGCCTCTGTGTGAGCTCACTGCCTGAGTGTGACTTTTCCCCTTTCAAGCACCAGCCTGCCTAGTCTCTTTACACCTACAGCCTTCTGTCTCTGCCTCCATCTTCTTTGACACAGACATCACGTCACTCTCCAGGAGCACCTCCCACCCCACCCCTTCCTCACCTGGCCTGGAGCCATCCACTCCTCTCTGCCCAGATTCCAGCAGAACCCATGGCCAAAAATACCCAGGCATGCTGCTCAAATATTCATTAATAACCAGACAGTGTGGCCACCAACCAGCCAGAAGGGCCTCCAACATAGGACCGGACATTTACGCTTTGGATCCTGGGCCGTGGAGACGTCTAGATGGTTCCAGGGAGTAGCAGGGCATCAAGGTGGAGGGCCTTGGGACCAAATACAGGAAGGATCCCATGAGACAGGCAGCCTTTCAGTGGGGCATTTCATCTCCTTTTCTTTCTTTCTTTTTACAATATATTTTAAAAATATTTATTTACTTGGTTGCACGTGGTCTTAAGTTGCGGCAGGCTGGTTCCTTAGTTGCAGCTCACTGGCTCCTTAGTTGCGGCATGTGAACTCTTAGTTGTGGCATGCATGTGGGATCTAGTTCCCTGACCAGGGATCGAACCCAGGCCCCCCGCAGTGGTAGCTCGGAGTCTTCTCCACTGCGCCACCAGGGAAATCCCTCGTCTCTTTTCCTAACTACAGCATCAACCCACGTTTATCGATGCAGACAGAGAAACAAGGTGACCCAGGTGCTGGGTGTCCCTTTTCTCCAGACATTTCTGGAGCCTGTGGCCTAGGACACCAACTTTGTAGAAGGAGAGATTTGGGTTCAGATACCAGCTTTACCATTGACTAGCTCTGTGGCTTTGAGCTAACCAACTTGTGTCTGTGAGGCTCTGCTTTCTCTTCTGAAAAATGGCGACAATAACAGTTGTCACCATGAGGGGATAGTTGTGATGGCCACACAAGATGCCCAGGGCCGGGCCCCATGCCTGGCACATGCCAAGCTCCTGGAGGATGGCTGCTATTAGACACGAATACATTTTGCAAACAGGTGAGAGCGCTCACCTACGATTTGCAGCCCGCCCTTTAACTCAACGGATCGCATGCCAATCAGTTTTTCTCAACCACATCTGTTTTAACTGCCAGACATCCAGCTGTGGGGACATAGCATCAAGTCCTTACCACTCCGAGTGGACATCTAAGTTGTCAGTGAGTTGTCTTACTGTGAACAAGAGCTCCGTAACTGCGTCATACCTGGGAGAAGCCACCGAGGGTTTCTGGGCTGCTCGGGTGGGGTGTTGCTGGCTGCAGGACTCCAGGGGCACCCGGAGGGTGGAGACGCGGGGAAGTCTGTGGGTTGTGGTCTGTCCACAGGTGAGCTAGTGGGTGAGAACTCAGGGCGGATGAGGCATTCTATACATAGGTGCTGGGCTGCGATGCCTCTGCCCCTCTGGCACGTTTTTCCTGTCCGAGAGAGAGAAGGAGGAGCCCCGTGCCCAAAAGCAAGGCAAGTGGTGTAGCGCGAGGGCCAAATGTGAGGCTGAAGACAGATTGTAGTCCAGCCTGGTGATTTCAGCACCAGCCAGGAGGACAGCAGTCAAGAGCTGTCCTGGGAGCGGAATTCCCAGGCGAGGGCCATCCTGGAGGAGAGGGGAGAGGTGCAGGAGGTGGGTTAGGGGTGGCAGGGAGAGCCAGGGAGATCCCCTGCCCACCGGGTACTTCGGAGCCCTCCGTGTGGCCCTCCCAGTGTTCCAGGCAGCCCCAGTGGGGAGCTGGGCTGCCATCTTTGGGGCAGTGGGACCACAGCCTGCCCGGCATGCTGTCGCTTCTGCCGCCCTTTCTCCTCCCCAGCGGCCCTGCCCCTGCCTCCACTCATCTCTGTGTCCAGCCAGGTCCTGGGAGTCACATCTTAGGGACCAAGCAGATGAAAATGCACTCAGCGAGGATTCACGTACAGGAGTGTTCACCGCAGTGGCGTCTGAGTCCCCCAAACTGGAAACAACCCAGAAGTCCACTGAGAGTCCATCCTGCGTGGACATGCTGCAGCCCAGCCCTACGGCAGAGGATCACACGGCAGGGGAAACGGATGAGCTGGTTAACACAGCCAGGTGAGTCCCCACCCGCCGGTGTCAGCGGAATAAGCAGGACACAGTTGCAGTGGCTCCGGTTATAGAAAGCTCCGAGGCGGGCACGACACAAGACAGTGATGGGGACGCCCCCAGGGTGGGGGCGGGCGGTGGCACCCATGTGCTCGCTTTATTCATTCAACCGTTGTTTCATGTTTCCTGCACCTTTCTCTGAGTCTACTGTGTTCCAAAATCAAGACGTGAAGAAACAAGAAAAGACACTAGGTGTCGCTGGTCTTTCTGGGAGACGTATTCAAGGGCACTTCGCCTGGACGCTCCATTTGGTGGCCAGGGATCCGCACGCTACCCAGGTCCCTCCAGCCTGAGGCATCCGGGCCTGGCACTGGAATCTGCACTTTAAATGCCTTGGAAGAGCCAGGCCGCTGGCCATCTGGGGGTGCCAGCTGCGATTCCTGCTTTCTGAGCCAGCAGAGGGGCCCCTTCGGGCCAAGAGAAGGTGTGCCAGCCGTGGGGTGCACAGCGGCAGCCCCAGCCCGGCAGGAAAGGTGGGGCATCCCTGCTCCCTGGAGCCCCCAGGCCAGGGCCCCAGTCCCGCTCCTGCACCCCTGCCCGGGCCTCAGCCTCCCAGCCAGCACGGCGCTCAGCTCAGGGTCCCCTCCGCCTCTCCAGATCACAGTGGAAGGCCCTCGGGGGGCGGTCCCCACACCAGACTCACCTTCAGAGTCCAGACATCGGAGGCCCCCGCCCCCCGCCCCGGTAATCCCAGCCTCCCAGGTAAGGGGACCAGTCCACGCCCTCCCCACCTCCTCCCTGGGTCTCCTCCTCTTCCTGTCAGGCTCTAGGGGCTCAGCGGGCTAGCGGGGTCCTTCCCAGCCTGGCGAACCTGTGGCCTGGGGAAGGCAGGGGGCTGGGCTTTCTCCTCACAGGTGTCCCTGCGGGGGAAGCTGTCTCGGCTGCCTCCAGCCCCGCAAGGGCGGCCGGGGGGGGGGGGGGGCGGGGAGAGGTTGGTGGGGGCGCATGCGTGTGAGCACGCAGCACGTCTGTGGGCGGCACTGCAGCCTGCAGAACCAGAAGCCTTGCTGTGGGATCGGCTCTCCTCTGTCTCTGTCCTCCACTGGCAGGAGCAAGGTGCTGAGGCTCTTCGCTGGGTAAGTTCTCAGCTGGGAGACGGTGGTCCCGGCTGCGCACCTGGTGGAAGGCTTTGTTCAGACAGGCTCACGCAGGCAGGAGGGGGATGGAGGTGAGCAGGAGGGGGTCCCCGAGACACCGAGGCGGCAGGGACCGCCGGATGAGCGCCGGGCCGCAGGGGCCCTTGCACACGGGGGTGGGGGGCTGCTGGGAGAGCTCTGGGTCTGTCCTGACCCCGGGCCGCCGGCTTTGGGGTCGCAGCGGCTGTTGTGACCCTGGGGCCATTGTCTCCTCCAGCTAAACGGGAGAGAGGCTCTTTTCCAGGAGAGCGAGGGGCCTCAGGCCACGTGGATCCGTGTGTGGGAGTGTCTGCAGACGCCTGTGGGCACAGGTGTGTGGCGTGTGTTCTGCGTGCTTGTGCACCTGGGTGTGTGAGCGTGGACGGTGTGTGTCTTCAGCTACAGCACAGATGCCTGGGTTGTGATGTGCATTTGTGTACTTCTGTGTGCTTTTGGTGCCTGTGTTGTGGGTACAGGTGTGCGTGGGTAAATGTGTGCATGCAGAAGTGGATGCATGTGTGTGTGTGTCGTTGTGTGTGGCGGGTATGCTGTGCAGGGGGGTTTGGTTCGTGTGTGTTATGTGTGTATTGCATGTGTGTGCGGGCGTGTAGCCGGCATCCTGGGGCCACCAGCTCTCTCCCCGCCCCGCCCTAGCTCTGCACCCTGGGCCCTGCCCCGTGGTCACAGTGGGGGCCGCCCTGTGAAGCTCTGGTGTTGTCAGCCTTGGATCCGTCTGTTTAGCAGAGCTCCGGCTCCGCTCTGGTCCTGGGTCGCCTGTCCAGCGGGGAGGCGGGGCTGCCAGGGGCGAGGCTGCGCTCTGAGGGAGCTGGCACGCGGCACTGCTGGCTGGTGACACCTACGGGGTTAAAGGCTGGAGGTGCGTGGTGTGTGGTGTGCGTGTGTACGTGTGCTGTGTATCGTGTGGCATCAGTGTTGCGTGTGCCCTGGGCCTTCACCCGTTTGCCTGAGTCCCAGCTGTGACTTCACCCCTCAATCCGCTCACAATACAAACCCTTTTTGCCATCACTCCAGGAGCTGAGAAGGGAGAGAGGGGCGCCTATGAACCCCGACGGGTGGAGGGGGGCTGGCTGACCCTGGCGTTTCCAGAGCAAGAGGGAGCAGAGCCCGCGTAGCCGCGGCTGGGGCCCTGCGGACGCCCTGGGCGTTCCCGTCTCATCCACTCCGCACAGCCCACCCGGGATTGAGCTAGAACCCCCTGAAGGATGGGGAGAGTGAGGCCCAGGGTGATTAAAGCCTCAATTTTAACATTAGTAACGGACATGCGACAGGTGCCAGGCTCCGGGCCCCAAAATTTCCGTGCCTGCCGTTTTGTGGGACTCTCACCGTGTCCCTGAGAAGCAGGTGTCTTGATTCCCCCAGGTTCACAGATGAGCTGGCTGGGGCTTGGACATGCTGTGTGGCTTCCTAGTGACAGGTGGCAGCTGGCCGCTGAGCGCTCAGGAGGTGCATCCTCCCAGGTAACCTCCGCTCCGTCTCGCATCTTAGGTATGACCGTCGTCTGCATTTACGTACCAGGGGACTGAGGCTGGCAGAGCAAGCGGCTCACTGACTGTATTTATGGCACAGGCCAGAAGGAGCATCCCTGTTCTGTCCCTCGCCTGGCCAAGCAGTCACGTCACGGGCGCCAGGTCCCTGCGTGTCCCTGGGGCCAGGCTCTCTGGAGAGGCAGGTGTTCATCCAGCAGCGTGAGGCCCGGCTGCTGGTGTGGACGCCTCCCGGAGTCCCCTCCCCCTCCAGCGCCTGTGCAGCCACCGTGGAAAACGGGAGCGGGCCGGGCAGCCCCAGCGCCGTGTCCCTGGTTCCCAGTGATGCCGTCCCCAGCCCTGAGTACAAGATGGTCTCGGTCTTCCTGGTGTTCCTTGTGTGCGTGGTGGGCATTGTGGGCAACGCCATGGTGGTGCTGACCACACGGGACATGCACATGCCCACCAATGGCTACCTGGTCAGCCTGGCCCTGGCAGACCTTACTGTGCTGGTGGCTGCCGGGCTGCCCACCGTCTCCAAAAGCTTGGCTGGGCAGTGGGTCTGCGGCCACGCCGGCTGCCTGGGCATCACCTGCTTGCGGTACCTGGGCATCCGTGCCTCCAACTCCTCCGTCCCGGCGTTCGCCGCGGAGAGGGAGGTACACCCCAACCCCTCCTGCAGGCCCGGACTTCCTGGCCACGAGCCTTGGTAAACTGAGTCTGCTCCCCATTTATGGAGGGAGCGCTGTGTGGGACCCTGCAGGAAACCGGCGAGGGCGGGGGCAGGCGCCAGGAAGCGGGCTTCTCATCTCACCTCTGCTACTGACTTGCTGCGGGATGCCAAGGCAACCCTGCACTCCTCTGGGCTTGGTGTCCCCACCGGGAACGTGGGCACTGGGACCAGACAGTCTCTTGGGCCTCTTCCAGCTATGAAATTAACACCTGAGAGGCCATCTAGCCTCTAAGCATGTGGACGCTGAAACCCACTGACCGGGTTCAAGCCCAGCTCTGCCTCTTCCCAGCCGTGTGGCCTTCAGCACATTGGCTCAGAGGGTTAGGATGTCTCGTCCAGGGCTACACAGAACGGGGACATAACCGAGGCCTTCTGACATCCATACACTGGCCCGGTCCTTGTTCTCCCCTGTTGGACCCATCTAGGGTCACAATGTCCTTGACCCCTCAGCCTGTGACCTTTGGCGGTGGACAGTAGAAAACCCACCCTGGGATTTGCACAAAGGTCAAGGTCTTCGCAAGGGCACTCTGAACCTTGTGGGCCTGGCCGGACCTCGAGGGGCTGCACCTTCGGACTCGGCCCTGCCCTCCCCTCAAGACTGGCACCTTTGCCCTGCCAGTCCCCGAAGCTGCCTCATCACGGCCTCCCAGGTCCCCTATGAAAGGGGCAGTTCCACCGTTGCGCCCACATTCGGTTCCCCATCGGGGAATCTGATCAGCTGAGTGGACCACCCTGCATGGCCCAATCCCAGGGGCCGGCAGGTGGGTCACGTGACTGCCCTGTGGCCTGCAGGTGCCTCGCCATCTGATACCCGATGCGGCCACAGGCCGTGTGCGTCGTGGCCGGCGTCTGGGGGACCACGTCCGTCTACTGCCTGTTCTGGTTCTTCCTGGTGGCCTTGGATGCTGGCGGGCACCGGGGGCCACAGCCTGCACCTGCCCATCTGCCTGCTGGACTTCACCGTCTTCTTCGTTACGCCCTGCTGGAGGCAACCGTCCTCTACAGTCTCATAGGGAGGGTCTTGCTCCAGAGCTCCCCGGCCCACCTGCCACAGCTCGGGGACCAACTCGGGGGCCAGCATGGGGGTGGTGAGGACTGGCCAGAGCCCGGAACCCAGGGGAGGCAGCTCTGTGGGCCAGGCAGGGTGCAGCGGGCAGCTGCCCCGGAGCCAGAGTCTCCCCTTCTTCCAGGAAGCAGGTGGGCAGGGGTGGCCGGTGGGGAGCAGGGGTGGGCGGGGTCGGTTTGCAGAGAGGCAGGGAGATCCGGCAGAGGCGTGAATGGACAGAGAGGGGGTGCTGGCTCCACGTTCGCCCACCTACTCACTCGGCAGGTGTCCCCTGGGCACCGACTGTGTGCCAGGCCAGTTTCTAGGTGCGGGGACACAGGGGAGAACAGAACAAGATACACATCCCGCCCCCGGGGCTCACGGCAGGACAAGTAAACATAGACCCTGTCAGAGGAAGAAATGGAGCCCCGGGGAGTGGGAGTTTAGGGGAAAGTTCGGGAAGACCTTGCTGAGGTGATGACTGAATAAAGATATGAGGTGACCAAGCAGACACCCGGGAAGTGGTCCAGGTGGCGGGGGAGGGGGGCAGGGGGAGGGCCTGGTTCACGAGGGTCAGCAAGGATGGGGGGCCCCGGAAGCACTTGGCTCCGAGTGGAGGGAGCCGGGGTTCTGAGCGGAGGGGCCGCACCCCCCTCCAGTTTCAGGGCGATCCCCATACGTTTGGAGCCCCAGACAGGTGTGCACAGGTCCCACATGTAACCACAATGGGCACTCGGAGAGGCTGAGGCAGGGGGAGGGCTGAGCAGAGAGGGTCCCTGTGGATGAGCAGCAGAGATGTGAGTGGAGGGGGCGAGACAGAGAGGGAGACACAGAGACAGAGACAGAAACAGAGACAGAGAGACAGTGAGAGGGAGAGATGGAGAGACAGAGGGAGAGAGACAGAGAGAGAGAGATGGAGAGAGAAGGAGAGACAGATGCAGAGAGAGAGAGATGGAGAGACAGGGAGAGCCAGAAGCACAGAGTGGCCAAGGCCTGCTGGCACTCGGGGTGTAGCATGGCCCCAGCACAAAGCTATGGACAGAGAGATGTCAAACTTCCTGGGGCAAAAGAGTGATGACTTCATGGGGACCCCTCTCCCCACTACCCCTCCACACACCCACGAAGGACACTGCTATTCTCCTGATGCCACAAGTGGAAGAGGGAGGCTCAGAGAGGTTAAGTGGGCTGCCCAAGGTCACACAGCTTACACCTGCCGGCTTCAGCACCCATGCTCCCACCCACTGCCCCTGCATCCTGAAGGCGGCAGCAGGGAGGGCCCAAGCCTAGAGCAGATGACAGGCCCCCCTGAGACCTCCCCTCAGTTCTGGGGCCCATAGGAAGCTCCTTGCGTGGGTCAGTGGAGGCTGCCCTCGGAGGTGGCCAGGACACGTGTCCCTTCCCCTCCCATTGACCCTCCTCCCTCGCAGAGAAGCCGGGACCCTGGGCTGGCAGCTGGAAGTGAGGTGGAAGAGCCCAGCGTGTCCCTGTCATCAGCCCCCCCTCCTGACAGGATTGTCTTCTGGGCCTGGCGACTCACTCCTGGGCTGAAAGAACAGATTGGGGTGTAGAATGGGGATATGACTGTGGCTGGCTGGGCCACTCAGGACAGTGGTGAGCACAGGCGGGCTGCAGGAGAAGCTGGTTCATGGTGCGTGTGCTGTGTCATCCTTCACTCTGAGCCTCTGCTTCCTCTCCCCTTTTTTTTTTTGTCTTCGTGGCTTGCGGGATCTTAGTTCCCAGACCAGGGATTGAACCTGGGTCTGGCAGTGAAAGTGCTGAGTCCTAACCACTGGACCACCAGGGAACTCCCTGCTTCCTCGTCCTTCATGTGGAGATGAAAACAGAACCACTGGAGGGCCCGGTGCAGGGGACGTAACCTAAGTGCCAGCAGCCACAGCGTCCACCTGGGGCCTTCCTGTGTCACCCCGGGCCCGAGGCCCCGCTCCAGGCATCCGGTCTTCACTTGCTGGGCGTCTGAGAGGTCTGGGGGATAGGGTGCGCCAGGGGGCTCGGGGCAGTGAGTATTTACCACCTGAAGTGGGGCTATTTCATGAGCGCATCAACCAGCGCAGCTCTGAATGCCGGCCCCGGGCTCCTGCCCAGGAAACGTTTAGCACAGAGCCATACGCAGTGGTAGTTTCAGTGATTATTGTAGTAACGCTCTCATCACCTAGCAAACATGCCCTGAGGCAGGAGCCACGTCCCTTGGTCACTTGGTGTGCCGGGTGCCGGGGCTTCCCGCCCCTGCCCTCCTGCCCTGCAGGTCACCCCGATGCTGGTGGTAGTCGTGCCACTCTTTGCCGTCCTGTGGATGCCCTACCGCACACTGGTGCTCCTCTACTCCTTTGTGGCCCGGCCTTTCCTGGACCCCTGGGGGCTCCTCTTCTGCCGCACCTGTGTCTACACCAACAGCGCCATCAACCCCAACATCTACAGCCTCACGTCCCCGAAGTTCCGGCTGCCTTCCAGCGGCTGTGCGGGGGCGGGATGGAGGAGCCACAGAGGCGCACGGCTGGCCTCAGCTCCACCAGCTACGGCGTGGACCCCAGAAGACGCAGACCCGCGGGAGTGAGGTCACGGGCCCTCAGGCAGCTGGGCCGCCACTCCAGCAGGAGGGGCCTGGTTTCAGCACCGTCTGAGGGCTGCCCTCCCCCTGCCCAGCCCCTCTCGCCTCCCTCGGTTTGCTCCTGTGCTGGGTCCTGTCCGCTGGTGGCTGGCAGGGCCAGGAGAGGGGAGACACTCCTTTGCCAACGGCTCTTCTGGGTCCCCGGTGCCTTCCCTCCCCATGAACGAGGACTGGTCACGTGTCCTAGTTCTGGCCCGGTGGCTGGACTCCATTTGGGTAGCTCCTTCCCCTCTTCTGGAAGTGGGGAGGGGGGTAGGAGCAGGAAGAAGCTGGGAGGGTGCCAGCCTTCACTGGTGTAAAGTTAGGACCTTCCATCTGTTATTATTCATTCGTTTAAGAGTGCTCTGTTTTCCACCTGATGGGTATTACAGCAATGCATTTCCAGTCTCTCATGATAGCCTGTGTCAGTCTGGCTGTGGGCAGAGCCCGTGTTGCAACGTTTTCCAAGCGGGATGGTGACACCTGGTGCCACACAGAAAGGGTACCCAGCTCCACCGCTGACACCCAGAGACACTGCTGACAGGCTCACCACTCACATGTGCTGAGGCTGGCCGGTACCCGGGCCTCCGGCCTCCTCCCCTTTAAGCTCTGTCCCTGGACCACAAGCCCTGAGTGGTGCTGCCTTGGGTCACAAACAGAGCAGAGCGCTGTGTTTCTTCGGGCCCCTGAGCCAGAACCAGGAAGCCTTCCTGAACCCCCTCGCCCGAAGTGTTCAAGCTCTGCTCTCGTGGGGCCCGCTTTGCTGACCACCGCCCTCTACACCCAGCACCGGAGGGGCACGGCCAGGCCCCAGGCTTCTTCCTCTCGGACTCCATCTCTTTTGTGGGTGGAACGCCGCAGCCAAAGGCATTGACAATTCAGGCGTCAGGTGGCAGAAGCAGCCCTCCGCGGGGGAGCCAGATGTGTTTCTGGGCCAGCTGGGGCGTCGGACCGTTGCGGGGCCCGGTTCTCAGCACCTCAGACCTCAGTTTCTTCCCGCCACTTCCCTGGCGAGACTCTGTATGGAAAGTGCTTTCAAAGTCGCGGGAGGGGACACAGATCAGCGGTTGTCACCTCTCCTCTGACTCCAAGCGCCAGCGGAGGCTGGGCCGAGGGCCACATGCGAGCGGCCAGGACCTGGGACCCCAGAGCTAGCCCTCAGGTCAAGGACCCGGCGGGCGGCCTGCTATGCGTTGAGCCGTCCGGGCCCCGGGGGGAGGACGCGGCCTATTTACAGGGGCCGGATGGTGTCGGCCAAGCGGTACGAACTGATGCCCGGCCTTCCATTGGTGCTTGCGGCTGTCCATCCTGCTGATCCACCAATGAGGGGAGAGCGTGGGTGTGAGTGGGTGTGACCGTGGTCACGTGACATCCGCAGACGGTGGGCCCCGCTGGCCCCTTGCCTGCCGCCTGTCCACGCCGGATCCTCCCCCTGGTGGTCCTTACTGACGGTCAGGGGCTCCAGGCCAGCCCGCTACAAGCAGCCCTTCTAACGCAGCAATGACCCTGTCAAGGGGGACCTCCAGTTCTCCCGGTTTTACTGGTGAGGAAACAGGCCAGGAGACCTTCAGGCCGTCACCTGTCCCCTGTGGGTGAGCCGCTGAACTCCTGACCACAAAGCTCGTTAGGCCAAAGGTACAGGACCCTGACCCCATCCCCATTCTCTCCGAAATTATTTTCCTCTTGGGCCCCGGTGATGCTCATTAAAGCAGATTTTCCGCGGACACTTGTTTGGGAGGACGTCTGTGTGTCCAGAGGTCACCCAAATGTGACTTCCAGGATGGAAGGAGGTGGGAATGGGGAATTACTTCGGTCAGGGAGGAAGGGCGTCCTGAAAGCTGGGGCCGTGGTGGGGCTCTGTCCCCAGAGAGAGCCAAGGGACAGATGGGGGACGATGAGAAGATGGGGCCTCACTGGACGGAGGACGCCCTCACCTTGACCTTGTGGCTGAGCTCAAGGGATGGAGGCTGCCTGGGCGTGAGCATCTCCTGTGGCCACTGAGGGTGTGCGGGGCCCAGGTCTGGGCACTGGCGTTAAGAGGCCAGCCCCGGCCGCGTTACTTGCTGTCCCGAGACCTGAGCCGTGGCCCCTTCTTCCTTCATCTGTGAAATGGAGGCGAGCTCTGCAGGCCTTCCTGCGTGGACGCCGATGGACGCAGCACAGCTGGGACAGCTTTTCCTGCTTACTCTGTTCCTGGCTTCAAACTTTGTTTCTGGTGCCTTCTGGACGGTCTCCTGACGCTGAGGTTACCTCTCCAACCAAACCGAGCCCCCGCTGTGAGGCTTCGGGTCTCCTCCAGGCCTTTCTTGATACTCTTCCCGTCACTCCGTCACACACCTGGGCTCGGGTGCCCCTGCACGCAGTTAAGACCGGGCCGAGGGAGGGTACTTGTCACGGGAGTTGTGGCCTCACCGCTGTGCCGGTCCCGCTGTCTGAACCGCTCTGCTCCTTTCTTTTGGCATCAGGACATGTCACTGCCAGGGAGGATGACTGCTTTATTGTCCCTTACCCAGGACATGGATTCAAATCAGGAAATAAGTTAATTTGGGCACCCCACGCCCCTGCAAAGGAAAAAAGGGAACTTCTGAAAGTCAGAGAGGACCCCAAAGTGCTGGCCTGCTGCCCAGGAATAAGCCTGTGCTCTGGCTTCGCTTTACACACAGCTCTCAGGAGCGCTGTTTGGTGGTCCAGGGCTCCCCAGACCCGGTGTGCGTCAGGCCCTCCCCCGAAGCCCCTCGCTCAGTTGCTCCGACTTCTATTTCCTGGTTCTCACAACAGCCGTTCCCACGTCCCACCCACTGGGGAGCCTCAAAAATACCAGTGCTGGGCCTGGGCCCGGAGTTCTGGGCGCCTGCAGGAGAGGGGCCAGAGCTTCTCGGCGGGAGCACTGCCCTGGGTGGGAAACAAATCCGCGACAACCCGCTCTGCGCTAAGGGACACGCCAGGACAGACAGACAGCCCCAGCCCCCCAGCTGGGTGCCCCAGCCCTTAACTGTGACAGCGCCTGTGACAGGCAGCACCCCCAGTTTAAGGGGACACGGGCCAGCACTGTGCTCTGGATGGATTTCCCACCCCGAGGGGCTAAAAGCCAGGCAGCTTTGGTGTGTGGAGGGTGACACCAGGGGTTCACTCCCAGCTGGGCTGGGAGGCCCGCGGGGACGTGTGTGAAGCCTGACCTGTGGCGGCTCAGAACTCAAGCTGTCCTGGACGATGCAGAGGAGCTGTCGCCACGTGGGAGTAGATGCAGCAGTTAGAGGTTAGAGCGGGTGCTGCCTGGGAACAGGCCCACAAAACAGTGCTCGGAAAAGGGACGGTGCCAGGGCCCCGGGCGGGTTGTGCCATGCAGCGCCCTTGGGCCATCGGGACACCATGTCTGGCGCTGGCTTACTTGGTGCCATTCGGAGCTCCCCCGAGGCTCTGCTCTCTGATGAGTGTGTGTGGCCCTCGGGGTGAATGCCAAAGGGATGCTGAGGGCGTGGGGCCGGGTGCTGGCCCAGCTCGGGTGGAGCCAGCGAATCCTGCTGCCCCCTCTCCGGGAGCCTGTGTGGGTCACCCACTTCCCCCACCTCCAGCAGGGGCCGCCGTGGGTGCAGGGACATCGCCACACTCCCCAGCTCAGCGCTGGGCCCTGGGGGCAGTGGGCTCCCCTGGGAAATGCTGGAGCAGCCAGGGTGTCTGGGTGGGGCGTCCCCTCTGAGCCTGTGCTCCCAGAAAACAGGGGCAAGTAAGAAGCCTCACAAATGCCTTGTTTATCGAAGCGCCCTGGGAGACGGCTTACTGCAGAGACTCCCCCGAATGAAGTGAAGTTGATTCACTCTTCCTCAGGACCCCCTTGAGGACGCCAGATACCCCCGGGGTTACCTACGACTAGGCCAGACCCTGACCCTCCAGCTCCCCGATCTTCATCTCGTGGTTGATTAGCTGAGATTAGAGCCACTTGTTCCCCTGAAACTAGCTACAGAGAAAACCATTTCCAGTTCAGCTGACCGAGATTCCCCTGATTGCCAAACAAGCCCGGCTGGAGACCACCGCCCTGTCACCCGCAGGCCACCCCCGTCACACCTCTCCTCCCCGCCACAGGAGCCCAGGGCAGGGCCGCCTGCCGGGACGTCCGGTTTTCGGCCCCGGGGAGCCCCCCGCTTGCTCTGGGTCTGCGGTTTGGCTGTCACTGCGGGCTGAGCGGGCCCCACGGCGGCCCACGTGTTTCTTGTGAAGGCCGCAGGCCGCAGGGGTGCAGGTGTGCTGAGTTAGTATCCACTCAATTGCTCACGTGTTCGCCTCCTCCTCCCGACATCCCAGCAGGCACCGGGCCCAGAGCTTGTTTTCCCTCGATTTGCCCGGTGCTGGTCTCCTCCGGCGCGGCTCTCACCCGCCTCACCGGCCTGCATGGCGGTTTTTCGGTTGTCACAGGGCTGGGTGGAGCCAGCAGCACTCAGTGGACGGCCCAGGGGGTACCTGAAGTCACCATCGTGGAGGTAAGAAGCCTGTTTGCAGTTTCTTGAGCTTTGTGCGTGGACACGAAGGGCTCTTTGCCGCACTGGCCGTTCCAGGAGAGTTACCACCGGGTAGCTGAGGAGACACTGTGCTCGGCTTCATGTGGAGCCCGAACGGGCGGTTCCCTGTTTGGGGGCATCGTGTCATTACAGCCAGTCAGTCGGGGTTTGCGCCTGGGGCAGTGCCTCTTTAGCCACTGCCTTCACCGGGAGCCTCCCCCTCCAGGAAGCCCTTGGGTAGCCCCCAGCTGGTGGCACCCCCAGCCCTCCCACATCCCTCCCCTCCCTCCCCACCCTCCCCACTCCTCCCTCCCCTTCCTCCCCACCGCTCCTTCCTCTCCCCAAAACTCCCGACACCCTAGCACTTTTCCCTAGGTGCTCAGCGTTGATTTATGGGCCCTGGGGTAGTGAGTGTGTTGCGGGCGGCTTTGAATTCTAGTCTCCAGCGCTCCTGGGCTAGTGGCACGTGTCCAGTGGCTGGCTGGTCAGGCCGTCCAGGTGCGACAGGTCTCGCCTAGCGCGGTGCGCACGGCTGGGTGACCCCGGAGAGCCCCTCCCTCAGGGCTCTGTTGTCTCAGACCGAGCTCATGGTCTGAGCTGGTTCTGGGATCAAGGGGACTGAGAATCATGCATTAAAGAAGTTGCAGAGAAAAACGCCAGGGAAGAAGGTTCACCAGAGAGACGAGTAAGGACAGGCAGATGTGTATGGACGCAGGTGCCTTTCCGCTCCTTTAACTGCAGGCGGGGCTGGGCTGGCCTGGGGCGATGGGACGCCCACTCCCCTGCTGGGTTCTGGCATGTTCTCAGGCAGTAGGTGCCTGGTGTCAGCGCCACACAGATGCACAGCACTTTGTCTTCCTCCGACCCCAGGACGCTTCAGGCCCCCCCGCCCAGGGCGCTTGGCGCTGCCTCTGGTCCTTCAGGGTCTTGCATCTTCGGGAGGCTCAGGTCCCCCAAGCCCACATCTCCCTTGTCCTCCTTGTGAGGCCAGGGGCCCTCTCAGGCTCTCCCACCCTCGCCTGACTGAGGAGCTGGGGACCCCGGCCCAGACCACAGGCACCTGCTGGCTCGGTGGGAACGAGGGTGCCAGAGGGAGTGGTTGGCTCTGGGCAGGGTTGCTCTGCTTGGCCTGGGCCCGGGGTTCCAGGTGCTCAGTCCAGCCAAGTGAGGATGCCCGTGTCAGGACCCTGGCTCAGAAGGGATTGGGTGACTGAGAAGGAATTGTCCGGGAGGCGTGGCAGCTGCCGCCTGGCGCTGGGCGGGGCGACTGATGCCGCCAGGGTGGTCCTCAGGGGAGGGCCTGGGGCTAGCAGGCACGGGGAGAGGTGTCCGTGGCCCATGTGAGCCCCCCAGCTCTCTCTTGACTCCCCGAGGTGGCTCCTGACTTTGAGCTTGGGCAGCAGGGCCGGGGAGAAGTTGGGGAGGCGGCAGGTGCGCGGGGGGCGTGAGGGTCAGGAGAGCCATGCTCTGGTCGGAACAGCCCCAGAGCTTGGGAGACGAGGCCCCCGCCTCTCATCGGCCACTTGGAACAATCCTCACGCTGGTCCTGAGGGTGAAAGAGGGTGAATTGCGCTTTGTTGGTGGTGAAGTGTTCTTATTCTGGGGGCTCGACGGACACCTGGGTCGTTGCTGGACTGCGGGGGGGCCGGGGGGAGGGGTAGTTACCTGGGGGCTTGGCCCTCTGAGGTCCCCAGCGGAGGGGAGGGGGCCTTAACAGAGGCTGGGGCGGGGGCAGAGAGCTGGGCTGCGTGGGGTGGGAGTAGGGGCCACGCACAGATTCCTGTCCCGCTAGAGACAAGTGGCAGGGCTGGGGCCCTGCACTGACATCACCGAGCCTCCAGTTTCTTCTTCAGCAAACAGAGCTCGCCCCCGTGAGCCGGGTGGAGGGGTGATGAGTGGTTACTCTCACAGTTCTCAGAGTGTGGCCCGTGGAACCCTCAAGGTCTGTGACGTCAAAGCCACTCAGACGCCACTTGCCTTTGTCACAAGGTGACCTCTGCTCTGATGGCCTCGGCCCGGGCTGCGCTCACGGTGTCCCCACAGCTGACGCTGTCCTTGATGAGGCAGCAACAAGATACTAATCGTACTGAATCTCAGCTCTTGAGTTTTGTCTTTTTAATGGTCTTGGTAATGAAACGGGAGGAGCAGGTGTGGCTGCGAGCCGAGGTGCATCACACGGGGCCAAGTCTCCTCCAGGACGCGCCCACGAGACCAGCTCAGAGTCTGTGCTGGTGATAAAGCTGGGGCTCTCACGTGAAAATCAGAATTTTGCACAGCTTGACAGCTTCACACGGTTTGACTTTGCTGACAATTGGTGGTGACGGGGCGGAGTGCTGTGTCTGTGTTTGATGTTGTGTGAGGTGTGTCTCCACTGGGAGATCCACTGGACCCCGTGAACTTAGATTTTGCCAAACGGCCCGATCATGCCTGGGTAAAAATCCTTTCAATGTGCAAAACAAACCAATGGATTTTAATGTAACAGAGGAGGAAAGGGTCGAGGATATG